TGCAGGACATGGCTCCCCTGTAGGACTGCAGGACATGGCTCCCCGTAGGACTGCAGGACATGGCTCCCCTGTAGGACTGCAGGACATGGCTCCCCCGTAGGACTGCAGGACATGGCTCCCCCGTAGGACTGCAGGACATGGCTCCCCTGTAGGACTGCAGGACATGGCTCCCCCGTAGGACTGCAGGACATGGCTCCCCTGTAGGACAGCTCTAAGACCTGGAGAGAGCGGCTTACTTCTTGCCTCCAGGGCGCTTGCCATCTGGGAGGGGGCAGGGCCACTGCCAGTTCAGGGCAGTGGAAGGCAGGTCCAGGTCACTGGACAGCAGTAGCTGCTCCCTTCGTGTACTGGGGGAGAGGGTTGGATTGGCTGATTCTACCCGAGCCCGAGGAACAACTTCTTTGGGTGATACACGAGTACTCGTTTCTCTTTTCATATGTACCAGAAAAAATAAAATCTCTGATTGTGTGGGTATGGTGCTTCGAATGGAGTTGAGGAAGAAAAGTGGGTTGGTTTATAAAAGCCACTGAGGGAAGGCCTAGCAGCATGCGAGGTTGGTGGCCCATGGATCCAGGAGGAATCAGCAGGGGCCTAGCAGAGACGGAGGCCTGAAACCATCCGAGGCCCTGGCCTGGTCTCTCGGCTGCCCCTCCACCACCCTGGCACCCATCTTCAGGTGCCTGCCTTTGTCTTTTTTTTTTTTTTTTTTTGCATAGAAGAACTGGGGTGTAGGCCTGAGTGCAGAGGGTGAGAGGATTCACCAGAGACAGAGTGGGATCCACTGAAGTATACTGCTGAGAGGGGATCAGTGGGCAGGACAGGAGAGGTCTGCTGTGCCCTGTGAGTCAGCTCCCTGGCTCACCAACCATCAGGTTGTAGTGATGGTGTTGAGACTTAAGCTCCAGCACGGGGAGGCCCCCTGTGCTGTGACTTGAGGGTCAAGTTGACCCCATCCTGTTTTCGAGAAGTCTGACTCAGCTTCCTAGGAGAAGACTGCGACTCAGCAGAGAAACTAGGACAGAGAGCTGGGGTATGGACCCCCCATCTTCTGTGTGGCTGTGAGACCTTGAGCCGGGCCTGGTCTCCCTCTGCTGGGAATCCTGCTTACCCTACTCCCACCACAGACGGGGAGACTGAGGCCAGCCCCAGGTGGGGGGGGGGTGGCTCACAGCACTGAGGTTGAGCACTGGCTTGAATGTTGTAATCCCAGTTTTCCCTTTCTTCCACACGGCCTCACTAGAGCCATTGCAGAACACACTGGAACAGCCTTGCCTTGTTCAGAACACTTCCTTGTTCTGTTCCATAAGCTGCTTTTGTTGGTTTGCCGTCGGGTCTCGGTGGGAAAATCGGGACTTTCTCACCATTCTGTGGCTCCGGGATACTTCTCTTGTGCCACAGGGCCTCACCACTGCTGCCAGCCTCGGGCACATTCTCCCTCTTGGAAAGCTTCTTCCCTAATGGAGAGGAGAGTAATGATGGGACATCTTCTCAGTGGTGCCCACCCTTCCTGGGGTTCTGCGGATCCCCCTCGCTTTATGCAAAGAGCCCTTCAGGCCAGCCCAGCATTGCCAGGACTGCTGTCTGGGTTCAGCTTGTCAGTGATTTTGAACTATGTGAGTGGGAGGGCGCAGAAGCAACACCATGAGAATAAGCCTTTTGTAATATGTCTGTGCATATCTTCTGAGTCTTGAGTCGCTCGATTAGCCCCCCTGATTCAGATGGGGTGATTCTGGGGGTGGAGACTCCTAAGTGGCTCGGGGCTTCCCAAATACACATTTATGTCAGCGTCCTCAAGGCACTGCGTGGCCTCCTGCAGCCACTCCTTCCCTTCCTGGGGTTCTCTCTGCCTCTGCTGGGTTGGGGTGAGCCTTGGTACCATCATTTGCAACTGTGTGCCCTTGGGCCAGGCCTGTGCTCGGGGGCCTCGATGATCACAGTGAGCCTGACATCCTGCCCACCCCTCTCACAGGGGACATGTTTGAAGTGACTTCACCTTTTATTTTTGTTTACTTTATTTTATTTTATTTTAAAAAAAGATTTTTATTTATTTATTCATACAGAACTGAGGTGCAGGCTAGAGGTGCAGGAGGGTGAGAGGCTTCACCAGAGACAGAGTGGGGAGCAGAACAGGCAGATCGATGAAGTACACTACTGAGGGCAGCAGCGGGTGGGTCAGGAGAGGTCTGCCGCGCCGTGTGGGTCAGCTCCGGGGCCGGGGATCGAACTCGCACTAAGCGGCTGTGGCTTTACTTAGCTTCGCAGTGCAGCGCTCCAGCCCGCTGCACCACCAGGGCGTGGGCAGGGCATTGTTTTTTTGTTTTTGGTGACTCTGGTGGGGGAAAGCTGCACAAGGACCCAACCTCCACAGTAGGTGTGCAGGCCCTGCCTTCAGCAGGGGAGTGTGAGGGGTGGCGAGGGGCTGAGAGCGCCTGGGCTAAGACTCGTGTCCCCTTGTGGCAAGGGTTTGGCAAGAGGGCTGTAGCCACGAGTGATGCAGTCAGACTGGTTTTCTGAAGCGGGCTCTCAGAGCAGCTAAGAGTGAGCCTGAAGGAAGGGAACAGTCTTGGGGATTGGCCCAGAGGCTGAAACAGGGTTAGGGCGGTTGGCCTCAGCATGCTGGCCAGAGACAGCTGGTCCCCAGAGGCTTCTGAAAGAGCATTGACCAGGTCCTGTGACCAGCTAGACCAGATGTGACGTAGACAAGTTCCTGGCCTCCCTCTGCTCTTCTCTCACCCGACTCTTTTTTTCCTAAAATAATTATTTATGCATGCATGCAAGAGCTGGGGTACAGGCCCGAGGGTATGGGGGTGGTGGTGAGAAGATTCACCAAAGACAGGGTGGGGAGCAGAACAGGCAGGTGCACTGACATACACTGCTGAGGGGAGCAGCAGGCGTGTCAGGAGAGGTCTGCCGCGCCATGTGGGGCAGCTCCCAGGTTGGGGATTGAACTCGTGCTGCGAGTCTGGCGATAGCTTGACAGCGCTGTCTTTAAGTCCTGTGTCGCCAAGGAGGCCCCTCTCGTCTGACTTTCTGTCTCATGCTTTCTTCACTCTGAAAATGGGTACTGGGGAGGATCTGATAAATTCATGCTAGAGTAGAAATGACAGATTCAGATTCACAGGTGTACAGCTTCCCAAGAACCAAACCTTACTATAAACCAAAATATAAAGTGTGGAGCCCTAAAGACAACATTCGGGGCCCCACCTGCTGGGTGTGCGGTACCTAAGTGGCAGGAGTGCGGGCCAGGGCTGCCTGTTCCATAGTTAGGGCCACGCGGCCTGATTTGTGCCAGGCCTGGGTATAGAGAAAAGTAGAAGCTCTCCAAGATGCTGCTGTCCAGGCTCCTTGTGCGCCTCGGTGAGGCCCAGCCCTGGCACCTGGACTGGCCCCGTGGTGTCCTCGGCTGGTCCCGGATTGGGCCCTGCTGACTTACCTGTTCGCTTCTTGGCTTCCCCGTGTCTCCCTCCAGGCAGACCTCAACACCAACATCGAGGATGAAGGCAGCTCCTTCTACGGGGTCTCCAGCCAGTACGAGAGTCCAGAAAACATGATCATCACCTGTTCCACCAAAGTTTGCTCTTTTGGCAAGCAGGTGGTGGAGAAAGTAGAGGTAGGGTATGCTTGTCAGGCCAGACTGCCTGCAGCTTCAGGCTGCTCTTCGTCCCTGTGCCCCTCTGCCGCAGGTCTTATTCCTGCATTCTCAGCTTCACAGTCGATGGGTTTCTGATAACCACTTCTTGGCAAACAAAACCGGATGCTGGTTCCCAGCAAGGACACATTTCCGGTGCTGAGGGCGGGGATGCAGAGGTGTCTCGGTGCTAGCTGTATCTACAGCTCCCGGGAGACTTTTTTTTTTTTAATTTATTCATACAGAACTGGGGTACAGGCCAGAGATGCGGAGGGTGAAAGGATTCACCAGGGACAGAATGAGGAGCAGAATAGGCAGATCGACGAAGTACACTGCTGAGGGGAGCAGCGGGCGGGCCAGGAGAGGTCTGCTGCGCCATGTGGTCACCTCCCGGGGGCAGGCGGGGATCGAACTCACGCGGAAGCGGCTTAAGCTTAGTGCAGTGCTTTCACCTGCTGCGCCACCAGGGAGGGCCCCGAGAGAGTCTTCACACACAGGGCCTGGACCCCACTCCACGGCACGTAGCCAGAGCCTCTAAGACGGCACCCGGGTGATATGGATTTTTAAAAAACCCTTAAAGTTGCTTATTTTTTATTAAAATTTTGAGATTGTGGGCCCGCGTGGAGCTGTCAGCCAGCTTCCCTGGCGTCAGCGTCTCGCATGGCCAGCGAATAGTGTAGGCATCTGGGGCGCTGGCGTGGCTGCAGCCCACCGATCTGACTGAGATTTGTCCAGTCTATGCGGACCCCCTTGCAGCTCGTCAGTGCCGTCAGGGCTGAGTCACTCTCTGCCTCCTCTCGCCTGTCGCTGCTACTCCTATCTTTTTCTTTTCTTTTTTTTTTTTTTTAAAGATTTATTTACTTAATGCAAGCAGAACTGGGGTACAGGCCAAAAGTGCAGGAGCAATGAGAGGATTCACCAGAGACAGAGTGGGGAGCAGAACAGGCAGATCGGCTGAAATCCACTGCTGAGGGGAGCAGCAGGCGAGACAGGAGAGGTCTCTCCTGTCTGACCCTGTGGGTCAGCTCCCTGGCCGGGGATCGAACTCGTGCTGCAGTGGCTGTGATAGCTTCATGGTGCTGTGCTTTTCCCCCTTGCGCCTCCAGGGAGGGCCCTGCTACTCCTCTCTTCAAGCTTCCTCCTCTGATATGTGGCTTCTGGTTGGCACTGAGAGGGGAGGCGGCTTGTGATGTGTCCGCCGACCTGGCGGGGGGCTCTGTGTTTAGGGCCCACACGCCTCCTGCCTTTTCTTCCCACTTTAGAGTGAGTGGGTCATGGAGCTTCCCTATGGAGCTGGTCCTGGGTGGGTGTGGGCAAGGGGGTCTAAATCCCATCTGTCCCTGGGTCCTGCAGACGGAATATGCCCGCTATGAGAATGGCCACTACTCATACCGTATCCACCGGTCCCCACTCTGTGAGTATATGATCAACTTCATCCACAAGCTGAAGCATCTGCCCGAGAAGTACATGATGAACAGCGTGCTGGAGAACTTCACCATCTTGCAGGTGGGGAGCAGAGGCGCTGCAGGTGGGGCAGGTGTGTGGAGTAACCGGCTGCAGGGATCTTCACCTTCATCCTTTCTCTTGGCCGCAGGTGGTCACCAACAGAGACACGCAGGAGACGCTGCTGTGCATTGCCTATGTCTTTGAGGTGTCGGCCAGCGAGCACGGGGCTCAGCACCACATCTACCGGCTGGTGAAAGAATAAGAGACTTGGGGTGCAGGGAGGGGGGAGAGAAGTGTGTGCAGGGCCACGGGGAGGGGACCTGCAGGGACAGCTCCTGAAATGGCCAGGGAGCCCAGGCTCCAAGGTCATGAATAGTCCTACTCAGGAACAAACTGTGCCTGAACCTGCAATGCCCAGCCCCAAATAAACCCAAGATGTTGTGTATTCCAGAGGACCTGATCTGGCTGCTTGAGCCTCGGGAGGGACTGTGGGAGAAGGGGGGCAGTTTGGGAAGCCGGCCCAGAGGTGCGTCCTGGGCAGGTCTGAAGCCAGCGCCTCATTGGACTCAGCTGACTGTCTCCAGAAGCCACCGCTCAAGATGGGACGGGCCCTCTGCGAACACTGGAGCCCCGCACCCCGCTGCTGGCCGCAGGGAGACCCGAGGATGGGCGTGTGGTTCTCTGTTCCGTGAACGATGCACATGCACCCCCGGCCCGGGACAGCTGACACAGACCCTGCCCAGCCCGGGGGCTCAGTGTTAGGCGTGGCGGTGACGGCTGTTGGGGGGGCTGGAGCGGGCACCATCAGAGCACTGTGGATGGTCTCCATCTGTCTCTGGTGGACGCCGGTGCCCTGGCAGTGCTGCTTCTGGGGGCTGGGCCAGCAGGCCAGAAGACTGTCCAGGCAGGAGGCCAGTGTCACGCGGCATCCTTGCTGTTGAAGCCAAGAAAGTTAGTCAGAGGTTGTGGTGGTCTCCAGGTGGTCCGGGGGTCTCTGCGACCCATCCAGTTCTGATGCTTCGAGTGTCCGCCTCCCTGTCTTACACATCAGATGTGTAGTGACCACCCTGGACTCACCCACGCCGTCCACTTCATCCCGGCTGGTCGTTTCTTGCTCCCTGGGGATGGAGGAGGGGCCTGGAGCCCCCTGCAGCCTAGAGGGAGCCGGCTCTTCTCTCTCCCCTAAGGCCCTTTCTGGGCTTTGGGTTTCAGCAGCCCTGGCTTTATCCTACATTCGGGCTGCCTGACTTTGAGCAGATTCCTCCTCCTGTGCTCTCTGGAAAGCGGGAGAGCCACGATTCCTAATTTACCAGGATGAGGGATAATGTCTACAAAGTGCCTACGCGTTACAATTAGCTCATCCTCAGCTCCTTTCCTCCGGGCCTGGCTCTTTGCTGCCATCTAGTGGTTCTGGGCACCAGCTCCCTCAGAGGGAGCCCCTGTTCCAGGAGGAAGAATGGAGAGAGCAGCCTGGGTGTTCCCTGAGAGCCCAGCTCTCAACGGGTCGCTTGAGGATAGGAGTTTGACAGCCTGGCGCGGTGGCTAGGAGCAGGGAGGGCCTCTGGCTCGCTGGGGTTGGAATCAGGTGCTCAGCTACCTACTAAACTATGACCTTGGGGCAGGTTACCTAATGTCACTGGGTCCCAGTTTCCGCATCTGTAAAACGGGTCTAATAATAGTACCTACCTCATACATATGGAGTGCCTAGCATAGTGCCATAGTGCCAAGCACAGCAACATGTTCAAAAAATACACATTATCATTAATTGCAGGAGCTTGTCGTGCACGAGTCAGAGGGGAGAGTGAAGTAGGCGGGTTGGTCCTCATCAGAATACCTGGGTTCAGAGACAGGGCAGAGCATATGGAGGAGAATGTGCAGGTTGGGAGGAGCTGCCCTCTGCGCGTGGATGACGCTTAGGTAAGCTGCCTGGAGGAGGCTGGGAGAAGCCGGCTCCCCAGCCCCTGTCCACTGTAGGATGCGCTGAGCCTCTCGGGACACCTTGGCCCCCCAGCCCCTCAGGGTGGGGTCACGGGCAGGGGCACTCGCGGATCCTCGTGTAGGTTTGGGTTTGTGGGAGACTCTCCTGCCCCTCCCCCCAGTGTTGTCCCGCCCTCGCACCTGTAGGGCTGGGCTTGTGGATGGGGGAGCCCCAGTGCCTGCCTTCCGGCTCGACTGCACCTTCAGAGCCCGAGCGACGAGCGATGTGGACGATGGCTGGTTGTGGCCAGTTGTGACCGGAAGGACTCGGTGCAGACATGCTGGTTGTTAACTTTCCCTTCCCTTCAGGAGTTTCCCTAAGCAGCTCTTGGAGAGCCACCTGCTGATGGCTGTCAGTTCCAGCCCTGTCAGCATGGGGGAGCAGAGCCGCATCTCCCCCCGGAGCAGTCAGACCACTTGGGGCAAATGGGAGACCAGCCAGCGCCCCTCCTGCAGTGGCCGCTGCACTGCTCTGGGCAGCAGCCCCTGTCTTACCTTTCCTCCTTGGTGCCCACGTTCCCCTGTCTGGCCAGTGTGTGGCCAGGGGTCACCTCATATGCAGAAGGTGGGACCGTGGCCCCACCGTGTGCTCCATTCGGCTGATGAGGCCCCGGGACCTGCAGGCCACAGGTGCCCCTGCATTGTAACCTCAGCCCACAGGTGTGCTTCGAGCCCCGTTTTGAGGACGAGGATGGCGTGGGGAGGTTGGCTGACTTCCTGTCTGCGCTGTTTCTGCACTGGACTTGCTCTGCCCCAGGCATGGGGGCCGGGATGTTCGGAGCAGAGCAGAGGCCCCTGAGGCTTGGGCTTTACTCCAGAGGAGAGGAAGTGAGAGACAAGATGTCCTGACCGAGTGGAGGCTAAGGCAAGGCAGGGGCACCTCTGGTGCCTGGGGGTGCGGGTGAGGGGAAACATCTGACCAGGTGCTGGAAGGTCAGGTCGCTGGGCCAGGGACCGAGGGATGTGTCAAGAATGGGCGGGGAGGGGCGCTGGGGAGGGGCTGGAGCGAAGATCGGCAGAGGCGGGACTAGGTCCGTCTGGGCTAACCATTCAGGTGGGTGGGGTGGACACCCAGCCCCCCCCTTTGTGGACCAGCCCCCCTCACTTGGTAAGGACTTTGGTTTTACTCTGTGGAGAGTGGTCCTGAAGGTGTTTTAAGCAGGGGAGTGAGTCTTGGTTCTGGTTTTCAGAAAATAACACCAGGGCTGCTGTGGATTACAGGGAAATGCGTGTGATTGTCTTTCTGAGTCCGTCTTGCCTCCTAGACTCAGCTTTGTGGATGACTTGATGGATTTCCTGGCTTGTTCCTTTCTGCAAATCAAACACCATGTCCGCCCCATGCTGAGTATAGGATTCACGAGTGGACACTTTGGACACGAATGTGTGGCCCGTGCTGGCTGGGCCGGGAGTGGGGAGAATAAGGCTTCTTGACCCTCTAAGGTCGAGTTCCTGCCTCCTGACCTTCTAGAGCAAGCAGGCAGCTTCCTGAAGTGGGGACTTGGGGACAGACTGCTTGTCACAGGTGTCTGATGGTGATCACACTGCCAGGAGGGCCCCAGTGCCTTCTCAGTGAGGCAATCTTCCAGATGGGGGTGGGGGGAGACCACAGAGAAGCATGTGCATAGACAGGGCTCTGCCTTTCAGCGCTGAAGCCAGTGGAAGGCGGAGCTGGGTGCCACCAGGCCCCAGGGGTCCCCATTCGCCCACACCTGTTCCTGTCTGTGGGGTCAGAGACAGTGGGCTGGGTGGAGAGGGGCTGGAAGTAGGGAGCGGCAGCCTGGTAAGCAGGGGTGGTGGCAGCAGTGAGCTGAATCATCAGACTGGACCCCCACCTGCACAGGTGGGAAGTCAGCTGGAGGGGTCTTGTCAGAGTCCACATCTGGTCTGGCCAGGTTTGGCCAGTCACTGACTCCTGCCTGTTATTTGTTATGTTAACTCCAAGAATGCAAATGAGGTGCTTTTCCCTAAAGAGTCAAATTGTTGCCAAGAGCTGAAATCCTGGAGCCAGGCTGACCTAAGCCTGAATTGGCATCTCACAAGATGTGTGATAAGCCTTACCCACTCGGAACCTTCCGGTCTCCTCGTTCTGAAATAGATGGGAGTGAGGTGGGTTGGCTTCAGGATGCTTCTCAGAAGGGGACGGCGGTCAGCGCGAGAAGGTAGCAGGAAGGTGCAGCACCTCACTCAGGAGCTCAAGGTGGGACAACCCTAGACGTGTAAAAGCTTACCTGCTCTGCTCTTTACACATGCATTTACACACGTGTGTGCTCACTCACACACACACGTGAGAGAAAGCAAAGCAAGTGAGGAGGAGGCCTCAAGTCTCAGCTGAGCAAAATCTGTCATCCCGGGGACCGGTGCACGTTCACTCTTATTCTGGAGTCAGAACCAGGAAGGAGATGTTCTTAGTTGGGAAGATAACTAGCCTGGGAGGGCGGAAAAAGAGGCTGAGGAAGTGTCTGGAAAGGGAGAACAGTGGTGGGCTCAGCCATACCGAGGAAGAAACAGTCCAGAACTCAGGTTTCGTTTCACTTCCTGAGAGTGGGCTGGAAGAGGAGGCCCAGTACCTTCACAGGTGCGGCCCTGGGGGTGCAGAGGGCTTAGGGGGCTTACGCTCACGGCTGTCTAAGAATCCAACTCCAAGTGTTTTGTATTTTTTGCTATGTAAACTTGTGTCTCCAGATCTTCAGTAAAGTCTGCTGCTTACACCAAGGCTTTCGTGTGAGTGATTTCTCTGTACAGAGACGGGACCTGGCACCTCTGTGGGCTGTGGAAGCAGCAGTGACAGTGGATTAGGCCTGAGGAGGCAGCGTAACAGCCAGGGAGGCAGGAGCTCCGAGCCCCTCCAGCCCGCCCCGTCCCTCTCCAGACAACGAGAACCACATGGGGTGCTGCCAAACACGGGGTCACTTTAGAGGAGAGAATGGGGGCCCCGGTGCCTCTCTGTGTCTGGACTACACAGCCCCTCACCTCCTGAAGACAGTGTGCTCAGCTCCAGATTCCGTGTGCACGGCAGCTTCCAAAGCAGAGAACGTTAGGATTTAGCATGCACCACAAAGGACACAAAAATCACAGGGCCACATTCCCAGGGACCTTGGGGCCTTGATGTTAGTCCTTGGGTCGGAGCAGAAGGCCCAGGGACAGGCTTGCTGACCCAGATCAGAGCGGTATGTGCTTGACAGGCCCAGGAGCCACTGGGTGAATTCACATTGCGGGGTGCCACCCCCAGGATGGAGCCCTGGTGTCTGCCTGTCAGCCTGTCCCTTCCTCGCAGGGCAAAACGAGAACCGGTGCTTTGAGCCTGTTTGATGCGGGACCTAAGTATCAGGCAGGGTGGTGTGCCCTGGTGGCGCAGCGGGTTAGGGCACAGCACTGAGAAGCTAAAGCCACTTCATGAGTTCCAGCCCCAGCCCCGGAGGTGACCCACATGGCGCCGCAGACCTCTCCTGACCCGCCCGCTGCTCCCCTCA